TTGAACCACCAGCCTTCTGGTTAGCAGTCAAGTGCTTTAGCCACTATGCTACCAGAGCTCCTATAGGCACACGATAACTCAGATGACAGAAATTTTAACATGGAATCATTCATTTACCAAAACAGGCTAAGAAAAACTTTTGTCAGGTTCCTATAATGCTTCAAGGTCTCACACCCTTTTTCTTTCCAGGTCTGGTTAAAGCTGTGGTGGTGTCTTCCCAGATATGTTGTTCCTGTTTATGCCTAAGACAAGGAAACAAACCACAGTTCTTCCAGTTTAGCAACGGAGTCCAACAACACACTCCACTGCTCTCCAATTTTCTTCTAAGAGAAAACAGGAGACTTCAAATAAGCCAAGATTTCAGGGTGACTGAGCTGAGTCATAACTCTATGAGCTGTAAAGGGGGGAGGCGACATACAGGTGTTTGACCCAGGAAGGAATTGACCAGTCAAGAAATGGCAGCATGGCCCACAAAAATGCAGCAGCACTCTGAGTGCAGATGGGTCAGTATGACGGTAGTCCAAACTGCGGAGAGAGGGCAGAATCCTCATTTTAGATGACTAATGGAGGCTGGAGGATGTGGTCTCAAGTGTGCGAAGCTGAAGCGCGTGTACCTAAAGCAGAGGCCTGACAGGGACTACGGGCGAGCTGGAGAGGGCAGCGCTCGGCTCCTAAGCCTCCACCATTTCTGCCGGGCAGGTGACCGCAGGCCTGGAGGATGCCTGATCAGTTTTTTGGGAGGAGGTTCAAGGATCTTCTCCCCCCACCCCGCCCTTCGAACCCCTAAGCGGCTCCCGAATGGAAACCAAACGGCCTCGGGCCTCCCAGGAAGGCTGTAACCCGGGCCTGGCTAGGACGCGAGTCAGGATTTGCGAAAGGCCCGCGTGGGGTCTCGGCAGCAGGCGGCCGCCTGACCCTCGCTCTTCCCTCCTTCCGCGGTCGAAAGCAGCGGAGACCCACGGCCCCTAGGCCAGCCAGGCGGAGGAAGCAGCCGCCGCCCCAGCCGAGGGAGTGGGGCCGGGGGCTTCCTGGGGGAGGGCGAGAGAGCGAGGCTTTCGAACGTTACCCCAGCTCGCTCACGTCGGCGCGGCCCCGCCCGGCCCCGCCCCAGCCCCCGAGCCACCACCTCCTCCCTGGCGGACAGGAGGGGGGAACCGCGCCAGCGCCTTTAAGAGGCGTGGCCAGGTGCTCCGCCCCTACCGCCCCTCGCGCGCTAGTGAGAGGTGGGGTGAAAGAGGAGGTGCTCGAGAGTGTAAGGCGGGAGGGGGGGGGAAGCGAGGCGTGCGCTGCTGCGCAGGCGCAGTAACCAGACGCCGGACCGTGTGTTTCCAAAATGGCGGCAGCGATGGATGTGGATACCCCGAGCGGCACCAACAGCGGCGCGGGCAAGAAGCGCTTTGAAGTGAAAAAGGTTGGGTCTCGCCAGTGCCTTCCTCAAAGAAGCTAGAGAGGCGTGGATCTGGCTGGCAGGCCCGAGGGTGACCGAGGCGCGGAGGAAAGGGCTGCATTTCAGGGCGTTCCTGGGACCGGGTACACGAAAAGAAGCCGGGGGGCGGGTCTTAAGGTTGATTGGCGTGACGGCGATCCACTGTCCGAAGTAGTATTAGTTTCACTATGAAGGAGTGCGGCCAATCACGGAGGCGCTTATTGAGATAGGCGGGGTTGCGATTTGGTTGCGGGAGCCGAGCGCCTGAGCTGTCACTGGAGTGGTTGAGGGGTGGAGGAAGGAGAGGGTGGGGTGGGTGGATGTGGGAGTTGGCGAGACTGCGGTGGGTGGAGGATGGGTCAGTACGGCGAAAGCCAGGAACCAGAGGTCCTACCGCATTGGAGGCCTCGGAGGAGCAGGGAAGGAGATCCCCTTGCTCCGCCCCTTTCTGTAGCTGGAGGTCCCTCTAATTCTGAGGGACCCCGACTGGTCCTCGCGCAAATCGAGACCTGTATTAACCCTCTCTTTGGCCTTCACCCTGCCCAGTAAAAGTGTCTCGAGTCTAAAGGTTGGCTCTGCCGAGACGTCTATTGGTTTGTCCCACCGTACCCGTCCTCTGGTTCTCCGTCATGTTCACAGTCCCCCCGCCCCCAAAAAGCATAGTGAAATTCGTTAAATGTGAACTCAAACCTTGTGGCGTTTAGGGAGAGTTGAGTGCTGGTGGAGAGTGACTTGGTAAAAGTGGGAAAGCATAAGTGTGGAATGTGTCTTTTGCCATGAAATGCTTTTTAGTGGCTTGCCAACAGTTTGGGAGGAAAAAAAAAAGTCAGTTCTCAGCTAAGAGGAAATAAATCTGTTCAAAATGAAGAGTCTGAAATAGGAACGATTCTATTCGTGGAGTAACTGGTTGAACATGTTCCCCCTCCAGTTGCTTTTGCCGGCTCATTGTGGGCACTGCGTGCTCACTTGCAGCCAGCAGCCATATTGGAGAATAGTAGAGGTCGGTTCTTATCCTCCCAAGTTGAGGGTGTGAGATGAAAAGTGCGGAAGTTACTAGACACGGAGAATTGGATTTGAAAGAGATGAAGGTGTTGGGGGGTGGTCCCAAATTAGTGAATGCCTGGAAGTGTACATAGCTGCAGAAGCCAGAAGGTTGAATCACTTAGTACCACTTTTAGATAAACTCTTGTTGGAATTATCTTAACCAAACGTAGAAGTCTGAGCATGTACACGTTGAGAACATCAATTTTTTGTATGGTAGGAATGAAAATTCTAGTGGCTTCTGGTGTTTGTAATGGAGTAATTTTGTAGGATTTGGGTGATGACCTTGTTCTGTGTGCTGACTGACACGGTGGTGGGTAGTAATCCAGCTTATCGCACGATTACCCATTCTATGATCCAGTCATCATCTCGGTTCGTTCTGTTCCTAGCTCTCACCTCTCCTCTCTTGCTTCCAAAGCTGCCTAGGAGAGCTGATACTTACCTATGCAGATGTTGAGATACTGAGTTTTTCCCAAACTGCCAGGGGAACCTGCACAGTAAAGCAAGTTTTTGGTTTACGAAAGCCAGAACAGGCACTTAAAAACAATTCCTCATTTACTTACATCAATAATGGCTGATTTAAGTGATTTTAAGCTGTAAGGAAACAATCAAAGGTGTCGCGTTAATTTCTGCATTCATCCATCAGTCTTTTCGAGATGGAGAGAGCCTACGTGTAGCCTACTCTTGTCATCTGTTATAATGACTAAGATTAATATAGAAAAATTCTTTTGTCTAGTGATCCCTGTGGCCAAAGAGATGGTAACTGCTGCAGCAGCATGAAGCCCTGAAAAGTGTGTGTGTGTGTGTGTGTGTGTGTGTGTGTTACCTTACAAGGATAGTGCATTGTTCCCCCTTTTTCTCTTTGCAGTGGAATGCAGTAGCCCTCTGGGCCTGGGATATTGTGGTTGATAACTGTGCCATCTGCAGGAACCACATTATGGATCTTTGTAAGTAATTGGAGGAGAATGGGAGGAAGTTGAGAAGGTTACAGGGATTGTGGCTGTCCTGACATGACCAGTTTTCTTCTTCTCAAAGAGCTGTAAAGCAGAGTCTGAAGGGCTTGGGGTCTTTTGCATCTAGTCTGTCGATGTATTTAAAGTAGAGTGGGGTTTTTTTTATGTTGTCCTGGAGCCATACCCAGCTCTCAAAATAAATCTCCATCTAAAGATGGCAAGGCCACATTTAGCATGAATTGTGGACACAGAGGCACTGTTGATTCTTCCTCTTTACCTTTCCCAGCTCCTGCCCGGACTCAAAGGCAGAGTAGTGAGAGGAAGAAACTAAGCTTTGAGCTAAATGCCCTATGTGAGCTGGTTAGATTTCGAAAGAAAAGCCAAAAGAGTAAGGATTTTTTGAAGTTAGCTCCAAACATTGTAAAGAAGATATCACTACCAAACTCAAAATAGGCAATTAATTGCACTAAAGAAATGTTATTTTAGTCTGTACATATTTTGTTACACGTGGCAATCAAGACCTAGTGGATCTGATTGTAACTGTTGACTGGGCAAGAAAGTTGATTACACCAAGAACAGTTGAAGTACTTTTTTCAGATTGAGATCAGAAATGGGATAAAGAAACTTGAAGCTTCTAGAATTGAAATGATGGGCACTTCTTTTGAAAATCACTCAGCCACATCTCTGACCTCATGAGCCGCTTTCCCGCTTACTGAGGTAGTTTTGCTGTCCTCTTTCCTGTTCCCGAAGTCCCTGTGCTCTGTTCGAGCCCTTGCGTATCCCCTTCGCTGTGCCTGGAACGCCCCCCCCCCCCAGCCTTCCCCGCCATCTCACACAGCACTGTACAACATCGCTCAGCCACAAGTGGGAGCACATGGATACTTTCAGATTACTACTCACATTAACAAAGTAATAATAGATAATAGTTTAAAAAAGGTAAATTAATTTTAATAATATATTTTATTTAATCCACTGTATCCCAAAAAACCAAACCCACTGGCATTGAGTCTGTTCTGACTCATAACAACCCTATAGGACAGAGTAGAATTGCCCCATAGGGTTTAAAAACTAAACTAAACTCACTGCTATTGAGTGGGCTACAAGTCGTAGTGACCCCTCCTGGCGTTTCCGAGGTGCTGTCTCTATGGAAGTAGATTGCCCAGTCTTCCTTCTGAGGAGTGGCTGATGGGTTTGAACCACTAGCCTTCTGGTTAGCAGTCAGATGCCTTAGGCACTGCACCACCTTGCCAGGTTGTAAATCTTTACAGAAGCAGACTGCTATAGCTTTCTTTGCAGAGCAGGTGGGGGGTTCAGACTGCTGGCTTTTTGGTTGGCAGCCGAGCACTTTAGCCACTGCGCTGTTAACCCATTATAGCCAAGCTGCTTTTCATTTCAACATGTAATCACTGTAAAAGCTGAGTTAGTTTACATTTACTTATTTATTTTGATACTATGTAAGTCTTTGAAACTCAGTGTATATTTCATACCTAGAGCCAGAAGCCTGGGGATTCAAACCCACCAGCCACTCCTCAGAAGATAGGTTGGGCAGTCTACTTCTGTAGTGATACTGCCTTGGAAACCCAAAGAGGGGTTGTTATGAGTCAGATCTGACTCAATGGCACATAACAACAACAGCAACAACAGCACATCTCAGTTCTGGGTATTTTAAATGCTCAGTAGTCACTCTACTGGACAGTACAGAAGTAACCAGTCATTTTTCAACCTTCACTTTGAACTTGATCAAAATTTTTTTCTCTGATCATATGTACACACAAATAGGCTATAACAATTCTGTTCAACATTCCCAGGGCATCTTATCCTTTCCCTTAGTAGCAGTTGTTTAATTGAGTTGGTTCTCTGTCACGTCCATGTTCTTTGCTACTACTGTATCCCTAGCATCTACCATAGTGTCTAGTACATAATAGGTTCTTGGAAAAAATAGGAGGATAATCTGAAACCACGTCAACTTGGAAAGCACAAATCAGAATTTGTGTTGGAAAGCGATCCTGGTGTTTGTTGGCAGTTCACTGCCCCTGGTATCTCTGGGCTGTGCCGGTGTTTACCTTTTCACACTATAGACAAGGGAAATCAGCAGCCACCATGACGTTTCATATAGAGAGAAGGTCCCCGTCACAGAAAAACATACGCACAGTTTTAAATGTGTTTGGGCGGGGTCTTTGATTACATGGTTGCCAATTTCCGTGCCTTGCATTTTCACAAGAAGTTGTGCCCAGAGAAAATTTTACTTTCATGGGGTTCTTTTCTGAAAATAGTGATTTTATGTGACTTTGATTCTTTTTTTGTAAGTTTCCGTGTGTGTCTCTGGGTGCCAGGGAGTGCGTTTCTTGAGAGGACCACGGCTGACAAAGGCCACCTGTACTCCATCTTCCAAGAGCAAATTGAACGTTCGAGGGACCAGTATGGGCCATCAGTTAACCTTACCTGTTTTCTGACATGGGAGATTTTAAATGTCAGATGAAGGAGCAGGATCTTGAACTCCTGTAACACAAAATTATAAAAGTATGTTCTTAAATCACGTCTTTTATTCACTCAGTGAATATTTATATGCTGGGTATTTTGTTAGGCATTGGATTAAAACAGTGACAGATCAAGTTTTTACCTGTAAGAAGCATATATTTTGTTTATTACAGACACAGATGAGAAGGCTTGGGAGCACTCCTGGGCTTGCCTCCCTCATAAAAATAAGTGGATTTTAATTTTGGGCAAGAGACCATTTTGTGTGTGTGATTTGGGTGAAAGTTTACAGAGAAAATTCATTTTCCATGCAGCAGTTCATAAACATTTTGTTTCAAGACATTGACTGCTATCCCCATAATGTGGCAGCTCTCATCCCACTTCCTTCCTGTAGTTACCTTTTCCCTGTGTTCTTTCCTATGCATTCCTGCCCTCTGAGTTATCTCCCTGTACAAATACTGCCCTTCTGATCTCCCACAATAGATTGATCTAAGGAGTATACCTGCCTGGTATAAATGTTTACCTTATATGCCTATCTGTTGTTTAGCTGGAAGCCATGAGGGTGAGTTCAATTAAAGGCCCAAGGGGTGACTAGGGACCATAGTCGGGGGGTTTTACCATTCTTTATCAGATAAGGAAGCCTGGTCTTTTTTATGATTTTGAGTTTTGTTCCACATAGTTCTCCCACTTTATCCAAGATCTCTTGTCCTGATCCTTTTCCGAGTTTTTGACAGTGGGTAGTTGGGCACCATCTAGCTCTGGTCTCAGGGTCATGTACACTGAGGTTCATAAGGTCCACTCATTCCTTAGACTAATGGTCTCTATGCGTCTTTCGTTTTCTTCATTCTTCTTTGCTCTTGATGAGTAGAGACCATATATTGCATCTTAGATGGCCACTTAGAAGCTTTTAAGACCCCAGTTGATACTCACCAAACAAACAAACAAAAAAAAAACTCACTGCCATTGAGTCAGGGCTGACGCACAGCAACCTCTCCCTGTTTCTTGGCAGTTTTAAAGAGTTATTGAAATTGACAATCTACTAGGTGTTATTTTTTTTCCATTTCCTCTGGGAATCTAAGCCATCCAGAAGGGCTCAGACCCAGCTTTTGCCCTTGAGTTTATCAGGAAGTTGTCTCTTCCTGAGACCATAGATCTTTCTGTGTTTTAGGTATGAAATCTGTCTGCTCCCAAGATGAAGATACTGCTTCCTTCCCAGTCTCTACATGGTAATGGGCTCTTACTGAAGTTCGAAAGACCCCACACTTTATAAATCCCATGAAGTTAAGCTGCTACCTTTGCTGAGGTCTGACAGAAACCCGTTCAGCAGTGCTTCTGTCTGTCTGCTCCAGCTTGACAGGGAACACTTCCTTCCCCTGTGTAAAACTAACTTAACCTGTGGACTGGGGCTCTGCCCTGAAACTCAGAAACATTGACTCTGTGAGCATACGTTGCACTCGTGTTTCATCATTTTTCACGTCACAACCCTTCTTACCTGGCACCTAGAGTACAGTCCCGCCCTCCTGTGTATTTCTGCTCCTTAGCAGGAATTTTGGGTAAGGAGTATGTACATATCTAGCCCCCATTTTCTGTATTAATGGGAGTAGTTACTGTTTGCCTTTTGAGAGCTTTCTTGGCAGAGAAAGGGTCCCTCTAGGAACTTTGAGGGGGGCAGGAGAGAGGTCAGGTATATAAAAAGAGAATGATAATGGATGTGATAGATGCTATAGGAATATGTGTTAGGAGTGATTAAAGGAGGAAAGACAGTTAGTTCACTTGGGAGAATAAGGAGAAGCTTCACCCAAGAAGAAGACATTTGAGCTGGATCTTGAAGGGGAGGAAGGGACTTACTGGTGGAAGGAGGAGGGCTGTTCCAGGTATGGGGTAACAGCAGCATGAGGAGGCAAGGACTCTATCCTGGAGGAGCCTTAAGGGATTCTGGAGATAATAGTGCCGGGCCCACAAGCTAGAAGGGAAGACCAAAGTACAGTCTCAATGCGATAATGTTCCCTGAAGCAGTTTTGGTTTTTGCTTAAGAAGTAATCAAAAGTGTGGCTGTCAGTTTGCAAGTTTCATGACACGGAGTTGTCCTCTGAGCTAGAGGGTTTTATTTGCTCTGCTTTTCCTTTAAATGTAGTGGTGTGGTCACAGCAAGAAATTCTGGAATGTTCTGTGTAGACCCTAGATCCTCTACTCATACTAGAAGGCAAAAACCCAGTTCCTGTCTGTCTTGGGACAGAAGCCAGGTCTGTGACTTCAGTCCGCTTGCCTTTCTTATTTTTGAAGGGTAAAAAAATCTCTTGGCATTTCTCATCCCCTAAAACCAAATATACCCATTCACTGCTCCACATCCTTTTATTACAGTGTTACTGTTGTCTACCTATGAGAGTTTGAAGTGATGTCTCCTATTAACTAGTCTTTAAAAACTAAAGTTTGTATTCTTCAGAAGGGAGACTCCATGTAGTTAAGCACTTTCAGAGAAAGCAGATACACCTGCCTGCTTCCTGGCTTTGGACCATCTGTCCCGGCTAGAGCTCTGTCAGTTCCCTGTCGCAGGCAGATTTTTGTTCCATTTAAGGTCCCTTCCCTCCCCCTCTCTGTGAAATGGATCATTTGGGTACATTTGCAGCAATCTGCTCTCCTCGCCAGACAGAAGCTCTTCAGGACAATAAGCATCACAAAGTAGGGGCCCCAACTCTGCCCTGTCGGCCTGGTTTGTGCTTTGTTGAATAGTATTACAAAGAATCGGGATGCCTTCACTTCCTGTTGTTTGTCACCTGTCCCCTTTGGGGACTGGAATTTCACTCAACATGGCCTTCATGTGGACAGGCCTGAGTTTGCAAGGGCCCAACAGGAACCATTCAGCCGGAGTTTGGAGAAGGTACCAGTTCAAGGAAGCCTGGGAGTTGCGAGGTGGCTTTCAGAGTTTGCTTGCCTTACCGGATTAGGAGGCCTCACTTCCATTTTAACAAGTGAAGTTATACTTAGAATTGAAACAAGCCTTTTCCACGTGTCACTGTTTTTCAACAGGATAAGAGATTAATTGCTGCAGAGCGCATGTTACAAAACGGCCTTCTGTTCCTCACCCTTTCCTACGTTCATCAGAGAACCGATTATGACTAATTAAGCACTTGCCAATTTGCTCAGGTCTGCTCCCTTCCCCATCATGTAATTATCAGCTGCTGTAGATTGAAAGGTGGCTGCTCCTGAGGGCAGTGACCGTCTTGCTCTTGTTCCCACAGGCATAGAGTGTCAAGCTAACCAGGCGTCTGCTACTTCGGAAGAGTGTACCGTCGCGTGGGGAGTCTGTAACGTAAGAAAACATCTTTACCTATCAGCATGGCTTGTAAACCTGTTGCCACTTTTCCTGCTTTGCCATTCTTGACAATAACTAGAGAAAAAAATGACTAGCTTGCCTTTCTCCCCAAAAGGTCTACAAATAGGAAAAAAGTTTTAATCTTTGTACTTTGTCCTGTTAGAGAGTAAATGTTACTAGTTCCTACAGGGAGGTGCTAGAGTGTGTTGTTATATAGAGTACCCCCACTCGTTAGCAACACTTGGGGGATCCATCTTTGGAAGCTGCCTTCAAAGCCTGTAGTGTAGTCTATGGAATATTCTGTGGGTGGATATCTTTACCTTCTGAATAGAGGGTTTTTTTTGTTTTTTTTTTTGAGGTCTAGGTGTCTTCTAAGTTTGGTGGATAAGTCAGGTGTTCGAGAGAGAATGTGTGTGTGTTAAGTGTGGGAAATGTAGTAACTTAGGGTTTGATTGGTTGGTTTTAATGTGGCTCATGCCAGAAATGTGCCATGCAGCATTGTTGAAATGAGTTTTCAGCCTTTCTGGGTGACTGCTGTAGAGGCTAACAAACACTGAATGTGTAATATGTAGCATGTGTTAAAAATTCCCCCTAATTGCCTCAGAGACACAGTCATATTAACAGAATTGTCCACCTCTTGGCCTCCTGTGCCGTGGGGACAGAGGACCCACAGCTTCTGGCTTGGCGTGGGGTGACAGGCTCTGGGGTCAGACCACCCTTCCCCTTCTCTGCCGCTTACTTGCTAAGCTACATCAGAAAGAGTATTTAACAATTGAAGAGCTGTAAGTTTGACTTGACTCTCCTAAAACAGAATTAACAATAGACTGCACAGAGCTGTAATCAGGATTAAATGATTTAATGCTTGGGAAGTGTTTAGAAGAGTACCTTGTACATAGTAAGCATGAGTGTTCCTTAAGTAAATACAAATAAAGAAAGTCACGGGCCGCATAATGTCCCCTTGGGCACTGTCCGAGTGCATGTGTGTCCGTGGTCGCATATGGTTATAACAGAGCTCTGAAATCCTCACTGAAGTACAGGACGTAGCAGACATAATCGCAAATTGGAGTACAGGACATAGCAGACGTAATCGCAAAAACAAACAATTCCTCCAAGTTGATAAAGGATCAGTTCCACCAAAAGCTAAGGAACACGCAAGGGGGATGTGTACCAGATTTTGGAGAAGTTGCTAATGACATGGAGTGAGGACCAAACTCAAAAGCAAACCCCTCTCAGAACGTTGGTTCCTGCTAAGACATGAAGCTTGTTTAAGATGCTTTTAAAGAAAAAGCACAGACTACAATACTGAGTTTGGTGCTAGCTCTGGGTGGTTCAGATGTGTTAAACAACATTTTTTTGTGGCAGATGTCAGAGGGGTGAGTCTGCGAGTGCAAACGTGAAGGCAGGAGAATTTGTTGAAACTGTGGATAAGCTAGGTGTTCACACAACATCCAAATCACATAATACCCTGTTTCACAGAATGGATCGAGGATGCTAACTAACATGTGACAAGTTTGAGGAGGTGGCTATTTGAGTAGACAGTAGCTGTCCATACCATCTTGTGGTGTACCTGCTTAATTCTCCATCAGGCCCCAATGGGCAGTTTCACAGTAGCCTGTAATGGCCAGGGGACAGCTTTTGTCATTTATGGGGATAAAGAAATGAAATATATTGGGCTCTTTGCTCTTCTGTCACTTAGGCATATACTAAGAAGCACATTACTTTGTGGTGGGAGGGAAAAAGAGTGGACTTGCCCTTGAATTTGGCTAAGGAGAGCCTAGCCCAGCTGCCACCGAGGGCCTCCTGTAAAGAAAGGAGAGCCGGCCTGGTATGAGCGAGCCTCTGGACTGCTCCTTAGTAGCTAGTTCTGGGTCTTCTGCTAGTCAGCTCCGTGAAGTAGGCAAGTCACTTAGCTTTTCTGGGTTTGAGTTTCCTGTCTGTAAAAGAAAGATAATAGTATCTTCACACTTGCCTGGCAGGGTTGCTGGGAGGCTCCGATGAGGTAATGCATATTACCATCGTCCATAAACTGTCAAGCACCACTTGCTGTAATTGAGTCTACAGAACACTCCTGTTACTACACCTTCGATTGTTAGCTGGAAGAAAGTGGTGATCAGGAAGTGTTCGGGGACCTTGTCACCTGCCCTGCAGCCTCGTTTTCAGCCCCTTGCCCGCCCGCATTTGCTGTCCTTTTTTTTCTTCTTTTCTTTTTCAGGCATTCAGTGTTACTTACTGATGGTATTGTAGTGATGCTGATGCCAGAAGTATTGACTTGTTTAATTCAAAGCAACTCTGGAATTTTAAAAACAATACTAACTGTTATTAACTGAAGGAGCTCTGGTGGCACAGTGCCTAAGGCATTTGACTGCTAACCAGAAGGTTGGAGAATCAAACCCGCCAGCCACTCCACGGAAGGAAGACTGGGCAATCTACTTCTGTAAAGATTTACTGCTTTGGAAACCCAAAAGGAGTCCCCATGGGCCAGGCACTTAGTTTCTCCATTTCTTCATTCACTTTTCATGACGCCCCTGTTGTGAATGAGGCATAGTTCACAGAGTTTACAGTCTTGTCCAGGGCCAGTCAGCTGGTCATTGGTGCTGAGATACGAGCACACATTTGCCTTCTTTCGAAGTGGTTGGGTATCGTGAGCAAGGCCCCTGTAGTGCCGCAGAGTGCTGATGGCCGAAGTGGAAGGTGAACAAGGGTAACTCATATACTCTTGCATGAGTCCGCCCCCACCACCTGATGGTTGTGGAAATGCCTCAACTTTCTGCCAAACTGGGGTTTGCTCCTTTCTGACAGTGAAGTCATATGAGCGTTACCAGGAAAGGGATCTTCCGAAAGGCTGTCCTGGCAAACGTGTCCTCTTGAGTATCCGTGGTAGACTCATTGTGGATTCCACTTTCAATTATTGAATTGTAGTTTTGTTTGTGTCAGGAAAGAATTCACAAGACAATAATCCATACCATGGCTCTTTTAAGTCACAAGTGTGTTTTGGGAGACTGACTAGATTTCAAGGCTGTTATTAAGCCAAGCCAGCTGAAGCTGTTGTTGTTTAGCAGGGGTGTCAGCCTGTCTCCCCTGTCCTCACCTCACCCAGCCAGTCATGGCATAGACCCTTGCTGCAGCTGTCTTAATACTCTGCTCGTAATGAGTGAGGTGGGGATTTGGTGTCCGTTACAGACGGACAGTGATCAGTACCTACAGAACAGTGACCCTCCGGAACCCTGCACACAGACCCCCCCCCCCCAAGTATGAAGTCCAGCTGCCTGCCCCCTGTCAGTCACCAGTATCCTCAGCGCTCTTGCCTGTTCACTTCCTGTCAAGATCGGGAAGGGCCCTTTGGTGCCTTTCAGCCGCCTGTGTGCAGCTTGCCCTGCAGTTCATGATCTCACTCCCTTTTGCAAACCGAGTCCCTCCCCCTCAAGACCCATTGATTACTGAGCTCCTGTTATACCAGCGTGTCAGTGAGAAAAGTTCCTTTGAACATAGCTGAGCTGGGTGGAAGGGAGGTCGGGGACTTGACAGGTGTCAGCTCGGGGCATGGCAGTCACAGTACACTAGCAAGGGCTGAAGAGAAGGCTCAACTCCTAGGACATCTACTCTTCAAGGGAGGGGACAAAGGACAGGGACCAAGAGTAGCGATGCTTGAAACCTTCATGGGATCAGGGGGCTCCTTTCCCAAGGCAAGGACAAGCCTGCCCTCAAAGGCTGAATAGGGCCAGGAGTGGCATCCCAACTTGCCTTGAGGAGGAGCGGACTCACTGCTGGGGTCCCCTGCTGTGCTCTCTAGATGATTTCTGCCTTTAGTTGGCCTTGTGCTGACTCACAGCGACCCCTGCCAACCACAGGACACTGTCTGGGCCTGCACCTCCTTGGGTGTTGCTGTACTTGAGCCTGTTGTCGCAGCCGCTCTACCAGTCCATCTCTTTTGCACTGACTCTCTCCTTTACCGCGCGGGATGTCCTCCTCCAGGGGCTGGTCTCCCCTAATAACACGACCCAAGGACGTGAGACCAAGTCTCGTCATCCTCACTTTGGGGAGCGTTCCGGCTGGACTTCCTCCAGGACGGTTCCTGCCTTTAGTGGTGGTGTTTCTAACAAGTGTTTCACTGGAACTATGTTCATACCTCAGCAGGGTGTAATTAATCTTCAGTTGAACTGTGTTGCCCCTCTTTGGTTTCTGTCGGCAGTTCTTTGCCCCAGCCCACTGTGTGTACCACCTCACAGCCCTGTGAGGATATGTCAGGAGGTTATTTGTAACAAAATGTCTCTTCTCTTTCAGCATGCTTTTCATTTCCACTGCATCTCTCGCTGGCTCAAAACACGGCAGGTGTGTCCGTTGGACAACAGAGAGTGGGAATTCCAAAAGTAGGTGTCTCTGGGTGTTTTGAAGTTTATGAGCTTGGACTTCGTGGTCAGCGTCAGTCTCAGACGCACCTCCAGCTGGAGGGCATATCGTCTTCAAAGATCAGAACGTGGAACATGCCTTGGTTCTTTGTTTGTTTTTGATGTGTGTTTAAACGAGTGTTTAATTAAACAGGCACTCAGCCATCCAGACGATGCAGAAAGGATTGGTCAGCATGACAACATTACAAGTGTGCTATCTATAGTTTCCTGATCTTCTAGGGTCTGTGAAAGTAGAGAATATGAGAATCTACAAACTTCTAAACGTTTCCAAAATCACACTATGGGAAGGCTCCATGAGCTAGTTAAATGTCAGGTTTCTTTGCTTTGGGCTAGAAGTGTCACCACCTGTCATGTTGCATGAGGTGCTCTGGTGGCACAGTGGTTACATCATTGAGCTGCTAACCAAAAGGGTCCGTAGTTTGAAGCCACCGGCTGGCTGCTCCATGGGAAAAAGGTGAGGCGGTCTGCTTTTTTATTGATTTACAGGCTTCAGAATCCCCCGAGACAGTTCTGCTCTGTCCTGAAGGGTCACAATGCGTCAGAATCAATTCGATGGCAGTGGGTTTTTTTTTCGTATCATGTTTCATTGGTTTATCTCATGCTGATTAATTCTGATACTGCATTTATGGTATCTTTTGGTTAATTTTTATTAGTGTGTAAATAAACACAACATGGTAAGTTTTTAAAAATTGGAATGGTTGAAAAGGGTACACCACAAAAAAACGAGTCTCCCACCTTAGCCCCTGTTCCTGCCTCAGAGGAAGCCACGTGCAATAGCTGCTCCGAGGCTTTTCTGACCATCTTTATGCATATATTTGCATACATAGGATTACATCCTACACTTGTATTTTGTTTTCCCCCAATAACAAATGTGAGCATCCTATGTACTGATTCACCTCACTTTTTTCACTTAAGTAAATTTCAGAGATTTTCATATCCATACGTATTGAGTGACCACTTTGTTTCTGTGCACATGGACTGTAGTGTATCATACTGTCGGTGGACATTTGGGTCTGCCATAGAGGTGAGCAGCTTCTGCTTGAATCTTTGTGTAGATGTGCAGGTCTCTGTAACAGTAATGGCTGAAATAGGAGTTTCTAGGTAAAAGAGTTGGCGTATTTTCATTTTTGATGAATACTATCAGGTTTTTTCCTCCCAAGAATGTGTACTAATTTACACTCCCTCCAGCTGGTGAAACCGAATGCCCCTTGTTCTATATCTTCCAGTACTATAGCATTAGACTTTTCATCTTAACCAATTGGTAGGTGAAATGTAGTATTTCATCATTTCACTTTGCATTTACTGAATTTGGAGTGAGTGCAGCAACTGTTGGTATGTTCATATGCCTCCTCTTTTTTCTGTGACCTGCCTGTATGTATAGGAGCTCTGGTAGCATAGTGGCTAAAGCACTTGACTGCTAACCAGAAGGCTGGCGGTTCAAACCCACCAGCCACTCCTCGGAAGGAAG